GGGAGGGGGGGTGTTGTGCGGGGGGGGGGGGGAGAGAATCGGCGTTTTCCCTAACTCAGGTGCGGGGATGATGGGGGAATTATTTAAAAAAAAATATATAAAAATTTTAGGGTTTAGAAGGAAAAGGTGTGTCAGAAGTGGGATTTGAACCCACGCCTCCATTCGGAGACCAGAAAACCCCGGGCAGGGAAAGCAAAGCCTTGAGTCTGGCGCCTTAGACCACTCGGCCATCCTGACACTGTCAAAAACCCTCCTCACCCTCCTCATCCTCAACAGTTAATCCTTCTGCATCTTGGTCTTTCCTGCCTCTTTTATAACCCCCCCAAATCTGCAGCAAACTTATTTTTTTTGCAGTGGTAAAACCCTCTTCTGGCTCTTTTCTGCTCCTCTGCTTCCATCGCCCCGTCCCTGGGCCACACGGTCTCCGTTGCCCACTCAGGAGAACACAAGGATTTGCTTTTTCAGAAGAGCCGGACCAGCCCGATCTGCACTGAAATACACCGCGGTCCTGGCTGCAGTTTGGTCCTCACCTCTAAAAGGAAAAATTAGGAGAAAGATGGGGGAAAAAAAGGCACGCTCGAATGCTCATGGTGCTAGTAAAATCCCTGATTTAACTTAATTTAGCACCAGTTTTACTTTCTATTTTTATTCCATAGCCAAACTGACCGCTTTTTCTCCTTATTGTTTGCGCTCTTGGAAGTCTCCCCCATCACTTTGCAAAGCCCAGCAGGGTCCATCGAAGGCTTCCCTCCGATGTTTCTCCAGTTGCCCCAGAAAGGCAAAGCCTGGAATTTCCAGGTTTAGCCCCGGATCTTTCTGCAAACCTTCCCTCTGCATGCTGACCATGCACCTTCGTTCAGCGAGTGCAATAATTAACCTAGGAAGAATCGAAATCAAGTTGTTTCTGACTCTTTCTCCGCAAGGAAACACAGAAGGAAAGGTAGTTTTTGGAGAAAACTTCTTGGGATTTTTCATTGGGGTTAAGTCAAGTCAAAAATAGGGAATGTTCTTTTGGTCTAATTCCATGCTTTCCAGGCAAAAAAAAAAAAATCCTTATGCAAATTCTGGATGAGGAAGAGCTGCCTCATAAGGGCTTTGCCGCAGCTGGCCAATCCTGGGCTGCAATGTCAATCCCTCATTTGAATATGTCCATCTACATCAGAGCTGTCGCTCCGGTGGGACGCCTTTGCAGGGAGGAGCACTGAGTCTGAAGGAGACCCCATGGCTGTAGCCACCAAGAGACGAGGAAAAACCTCGAGGAGGAGGAAGCAGAAGGTCCAGCGGACGAAGCCTCTGCTTAAGTGGAGAAGGTCTCCGGCTCAGATTGGGCGACGGAAACCAGCTCCGAAGGGATTGAGCGGCTGGTTCAAGAAGGGATCCTGCCACAGGTACATCTCCAGGCTGCTGAGCCAGCTGCCACCACCGACCAGGCGCATGTCGGTGAAGGCAAAGAGGCTGATGAACATCTCCATGGGCGTCCTTTGCAAGGGGTTGGTCACCAAGGCAGACCGCCGGAGGAGGCAACGCCGGGGGTCCTTCATCGGTACCTTGGAGTTGCAGGCTGCTGTGGATAAGGTTATGAAAGGTGAGGGTGGGGTGTGTTTTGCCTCCTCCATCCCCAGCAGATCTTCTTTCATGAACTGAATAATAAGGACCTGTCCTCTCACCATGGATATCTTTCCTTGTCTCCCTCATTGCATGCCTGGGAGAAGAAGAAAAGAGGAGAAAAAAGAAGAATAAACTCGGAGCCTTTCTCACCCGCCTGATTCAATATCATTCCTGTAAAGATGACCCCTAAACCTGGCGCCCCACTGGTACTCCCACACCCACATGCCCACGCAGGAGGTAATTTGGAGGGCAGCTCCGGGATGGGAGCATCTTCAGCATCCTGCCCACATAAGACTGTATTAATCAGCCCCCCCGTGATGCCGGTGGGAGACCACCGAAGTCCATCTTGACCTCTTTGAAGACCCTCTCCGTGCAGCTGGGAGCTGAGACCTCAGCACCTGCAGGGGAAAGGCTGCTCCCCATTGGGAGATGCCATCATCTCAGACCACACCAAGTGTCTGGGGAGGTTGGAGATCTGCTAGGGAGGTGTGCCATGGTTGGAAACAGGGTGATGGCCTCCAGTCATACCTGAAGTTACACTCATCTTGGCTTGGTACTGAGTAGGAGAGAGAAATGATGTTTTCTGCCACTGATTCTCTTTATTTATAAGGTCTGCACTTATGGGTTTGGTGTGTTACTTTGCCAAGGTTCAAGGAGATGGGTGGGTACCACACCGAAGCCCAGTGTTGTCCCTAGCCATGTTCTCCAGGCAAAGCCCAATGACCTTACAGCTCAAATGCAAAAAACCCCAACGTTAAAACAGGAGCAGGTGAGGCTGCAAGGACAGCCTGCAGCTCAGCAGGGCGGTGAAATGGCTGCTTCTACGTTGCCATGGCCAGAGCTCAAATAGCCCCAGGTGACTGTGCAGCTCTGGGACACCCAAGTAGATGAGTTTGGCCAACGAGGCCAACACTTAGGGCCCATCTGCAGAAGGATCAGTGACACCCCCCACCCCCCCCGGGGTTTTTACCCTCCCAGCTCAGAATTCCCCCCCCCCATGGAATCCAAAGTGATGTGGAGTGGTGGAAGGAGAC